GAAGAAAGAAGAAAGAAGAAAGAAGAAGAAAGGGGTGGGGGCCGGAGGGAATTGTCAGTAGAATTCAGCCCACAGGCCACAGGTGCAGACCCTACATATAGAAGCAGCAGCACATAGAAGAATCAGAGTGGATTCCAGTTCCAGCTCTCTATTCACTATCTATGCCTCATCCATGCATTTTCTCATCCTTAACCTGGGATTAACACCTATTAGAACATTAAGAAGTAAAAAATGTGAAGGTTTCTGTACATGTGCAGATCTTGTGCAAATAAAATAATGTGGGGGATTGTTTCCTATAGCCTCAGGAAATGCTCAGGTATTTCCCTTGCTGTTATTTGAGATGCACTGGTCCTAAGAATGTCCATGATCTGGTGATTGATGCTGGTTTTCCTCCTTGCTGCCCAATACTAAATGGAGTTAAGAACCAGGTCATCTGGATTTCTCTTTCTTAGTTCCAGAGAATGAAACCCTTTACCAAGTTTAAGAGGCTTTAAAAGCACTGAATGGTTTTTAGAGTCACTGGGAAGAATTGCTGGACAAAWGCAATGTTTGAACAAAAGGGATTGTAGCATCTCCATTTTTCTCAGGAGAAAGACAAGAATACAAGATAATTTTAAGTTGTAGAACTTCTTTGTGTAGAGGGATGCAACAAATGGTTTGGGGCAGGAGTATACTAGGCCCTAAAGATCTTCTTCAGTCAGTTATACTTTGTAATTTGTCACTGTGATGTTTTGGGGAGAAAGGGCTTGCCTCCATAAGATACTCTATCAGCAACCTAAACTCTTACTTTGCAATCCCCAAATCTGCAAATCTCTATCCTGAGAACTATCCAGGCAGGTGGGCAAAAGATARAAAAAAGGCCTGTAATGAGAATTATTCTGTTCTAATTTGATTTTCATCTCAAAACTAGACATTGAAAAACTATCCAAAATCTATTCTTAAGTTATGAGTGATGTGTTAAAGATCCTCATCATCTTTGATTTTTCCAACATTTCCAATAGAACAAATAAACCCCGACTCCTGAGAAAGGTGGAAAATGGGTTCCTGTTAGGGAGAAATATACAAACAGGCATGCAGGCAGCAGGCAGACAAACAGGCTTTAAAATTATTTTGAAGGAAAACCCCCCACTGACTATTTGCACTAGGGTTCTAATAGAAACATAAGGCCAAGCATGAACATAATATAATGAATATTTAAAAATAAAATAAGCACTCCACACTGAGTTGAGAGTACAGCTGACTTGCAGACAATTTAATAAGCTATAAATAACTAAGAAGAAAGCAAATACTTGATCCTCCTGTTGTGACCATGCAGGTGACTGTGCTGGTGATAATGTCAAAGCTAATGCACCAGCTTCTGGTCAAAGTGGAAGCCCATGAACTTTTTTCTTATAAGGAAGACATCAGACAGACTTTTGACCCAGACGAAGCAAGCATGTGAGCAGATGGGAATAAGGGAAGTCACAGACTAAATACCTTCATCAGCAGAAGCAGTCAAGTGGGAAGACTCAAAAACAGCACTGTCAGTTTCAGGACATGGGGAAGAGGCCAAAATCTCAGGGCTCTTGAGCAGAGACACTCGCTGAGAAGGTGCTGGGAACAACTCTGGCTCTTCTGTGGAGGTGAAGAAGTGACTGTTCTTTTCACCTGAACCCTTGGAGGCCACAGAATTCTCAGACAATGAGGTCTCTGCCATGGGACCCCCAAGAGACGATGGTGAAGGGCCCAAGGGGGAGGCAGCATCCATCACAAAATGGTTCCCCCTAGTCCCCACTTTTGGCACCTGGAGGGGTAAATCCGGCATTTGCTGCTGCACACACAGGGGGTTAATCCAGGCAGCTTTGTGCCTCGTGACCCTGATGTCTACTTGGCAAAGAGGGTGGTCAGTGTCCAGGATACTGGGTGAGCTGCCAGTGTCATGACTGATCCCTTCCCAGAGGTACGCAGGAGAATCCCGCCGGCCTATTGACTGTGACACCATCCTTCCAGGCTTGGAGCTGGTGTGAATCAGTTCAGAACAGACAGGAGTTCTCTGATGACTATGGTACGCCCTGATCAGTTCTCTGAACTCACCACATGGCCAGCTGGAGGTCTGAAGAGCTCGCCTGCAATGAGCAAGAATCATTCAAGTAAGAGTTTGATCAGTTTTGATTTCATGTATTGTAAGGAGACAAAAACCAAAAATTTAAGTTTGTGCTTTGCTCTAACAACAAGGTAAATTCCTCAAAGTCAAAAAAAAATACTAAATAAATCAGCCATAAAATTCATAGCAAACCTGTAGGGCTTGACACTGGTTTGCAAAATTTTGTAAACCATAAAAATAACTGAAGCAGCAACAAAGATCAACCAAAAAAAGTGTAAAAATAAACATATCAAAATTATTCCAATAACAAAAATAAGAAAACTACTGCTCACTTTTTTCCTTTGGTACTGGGGATTGAGCTCAAGGGCACTGAGCCACTGAGCCACATCCCCAACCCTATTTTGTATTTTATTTAGAGACAGGGTCTCAATAAGTTGATTAGTGCCTTGCTTTTGCTGAGGCCAGCTTTGAACTCACCATCCTCCTGCCTCAGCCTCCAGAGCCGCTGRGATCACAGACGTGTGCCACAGTGCCCAGCTTACTGCTCACTTTTAAGCTCAGTGTTTAGCTTCAATAAATGATCTGATGAATAAAACTTAGAGAATGGCACAAATAAGAAGCACTCCTGTCACTTTAATCACAGGTCTGGCAAACTGTTTCTTTTTACTGTTTTCCCACTGTCCTTGGCATTGTGAAGTTAAAAGCAACCTTCAACAGCAAAAGTAACTCCAGCAAAGGAAAAGCCTAGAGACAAAGGGAGTAGGTCTAGATAAGTCTAGTCCAAATGAAGGGTGGTATAGCACATGCCGAGTGGTGGGTCAATTCCAGGGCATTAAATACCATCACTACATACATCTCCATTCCACTCCAGGCTGGCATATCCCACTGCCTACTTGACATCTGTCCAGGGTATCTCAACTCGATAAAACTGATTTACCCCCCAAAATCTGCTCCTCCCTGCTTTCCTCATCCCAAGAAACACACGCCCCACTTGTGATTCTCCTCTCTGCTAGGTCTCCAACTGCAATCCGTCAGCTACGCTCCCACCCTCTTCTGTCACTCTTCTTCCACCTGGACATCCAGCCATACTTCCCACTGGGCTTTCCTGCTTCTCCTCTTGCCCATCTATAGCTAAAGGTATTCAGAGAGATCTTTCATAAATCTAAACCGGCAGCTCCTTTCCCTAAATAAAATCCCCAGTAGCCTCCCATCAAATCTGGGTCAAAATCATACTCCTTACCTCATCCTTAAGACTTGACATAATTCTGTCCCTGCAGACCACTTTCACATATCTTCACCGGGTCTCCGTAAGTCCTAACCACACAGCAAGCTCTGGAACCCCAGAGACACAGGACTCTAGTTCCCTCGGCCTGAAATGCTCCTCCTCCAAATGATTACTCACATCTGGGTCTCTCTTGTCATGCATGCCATGGTTTCTGAATTTACTTCCTCAGAGAAGTCTTTCCTAACTGCCAATGTAAAGGCATTTCCCTGTTCTCTCCCTATCACATCACCCTGTCTAGTTCACATCACAGGAGGACTCACTTCCTGTCTTTTCTCACCTCTGCCCCTGCCTGACGGGAAGCTCCAACAGAGCAAGGGCCTTGTCTGTTCTCCACCAGTTTGCATCCCCCACACCTAGAGTTGCTTATGGGGCTCAGTTAACATTTACAGACAAAATGACACCATCCACCAAAGTGGAAATTAAGTCAGTAGACAGAAGATCTCTGTGTAGAAACAACTCTTCTATTATTGGGAAAAAATTATTCATACAGGGCTGGGGTTGTAACTCAGTGGTACAGTAGTGCTTGCCTGGCATGTGTGAGGCACTGGGTTCAAGCCTCAGCACCACATAAAAATAAATAAAGGTATTATGTCCATCTACAATTAAATAAAAGTTAAAAAAATAAAAACAGAAAAAAACTAACACATTTTTTTAAAAAAGAATTATTCATACAGGGATAGAAGTGAATCCATGCTTCCTACAGATATGAATTTTTTCTTACYCAATGCTTATATGGATAACAGTTTAAATATCCCAGAGGAAACTACATATGAAAATTGTTCTTAAAAGTTCTTGGGTTTTCTTTATTTGCAAACGCTGTATTCTAGATCATTCCTTTTGGAGTAATACAGATAAAGATACACACACACACATTTGTGTATATATACACATACATGCACACACAAATACATATATATCTCCTGAAAACATTGCACAAGCCCCAAGTCACCATTTACAAAATATCACAGGATGAGGGCACCTATGTCAAGCCCCAAGTCACCATTTCACAGAATATCAGAGGATGAGGGCACCTATGTCAACTGCCAGAATTCACTATCCCAAAGTGCCTCATTTTCCTTCTCCTGACCTCAATTTCCGCCTGGTGTTCCAATTTCTCTCCAGTATTTTCAGATTTTGTAATTATAAAAGGAAACCATGATTATGTCTTCATAAAAAACCCCAAATACAGAAACCTAGAGCAAAAAGGGAAGAGCTTCCATCACACCCAGCCCCACCAACCCTACATCATTCTCAGAAATAACATTGTTAACCATTTTATTTCTTCCTGACCCTTTTCTATGGATTAGCATACTTAAGTCAGATCCAAAGATCTGTTTTATTTTAAGAACATACACAAGATCATACTGGATATATTCTGTAACTTGCCTTCTGTTTTTCTCAATAGTGGCTCTAAAGGGTATAACTTATTCTTCGTAACTGCTTTATCATTTTCTATAGTATACAGTATTTACTTAGCCAGACCCTATGGATACAAATTTATTTCCAGGTTTTCACTATTATAAAATATACATTAGTAAATATCTTTGTTTGTAACATTTTGTTGTTGTTATTGGCTTTCCCTTAGTAGTTCCAACCTTAGTCTAACCTCATTATTTCCTAGAAGATAAAGCTATATAAGTCATGGTTTGTTCTCTTAATTTTCTGCACACCACCTATTGTTTGTGGAGTGTGCAGGGGGAGATGATTATAGATGTGAAACCACATGAAAAATGTACTATCTCAATGGCAAGTAATCCCAGCGTTTTATTTTTTTATTTTTTTTAACAGACTCAAGTCAATAGTTAAAAGAGAATGACATTATTTGCATGCTTCAGATATATGGAATTGACCTAAATGCCTTGAGTAAAAACAGACTTCCTCACAAAAGGCGATTTTCAGAAGAAGGTACTTGTTCTGCTCTGTTTTGTGCATGGTGAGAGATAGGGGTTTAATTTCACTTTGTTGCATACAGATTTCCAGTTTTCCCAGCACTATTTGTTGAAGAGGCTATCTTTTCTCCAATGTATGTTTTTYGGCACTTTTGTCTAATATAAAATAACTATATTTATGTGGGTTTGTCTCTGTGTCCTCTATTCTGAACCATTGGTCTACAAGTCTATTTAGGTGCCAATACTATGCTGTTTTTGTTACTATAGCTCTGTAGTATAGTTAAAGTCTGGTATAGTGATGCCACCTGCTTCACTCTTCTTGCTAAGGATTGCTTTAGCTATTCTGGGTATCTTATTTTTCCAGATGAATTTCATGATTGATTTTCCTATTTCTATGAGGAATGTCATTAGGTCTTTCAGTGTTTTAATGAGAGAACGAGCAAACTCATGAATGGCACCTAAACATGGTTATGTTGGTTATTTCTGTTGCCCAAGAAAGGAATTCAAGAAGAGATATCATTTTTAAGATGAAATTCAAGATGTGGCCTGAAATGCATGCTAACCACTTCCTTAGAATAAAAGATATGATGGAACAGAAATCACAAAAAAGTATTAAGAATAAAGGATAAAATTCACTTTTAAATTAATAAATAATTAATTTTGTTGTGTGTATCCCTGGCCCTTTTTGTTTTTCAGACGGGATCTTGGTATATTGCCCAGGCTGGCCTAGAACTTGTGATCATCCTGCCTTGGCTTCCTGAGTTGCTGGGATTACAGGCATGTGCCACATGGAACTCATGTGTTACATGTTAAATTAATTGACAAAAATTGCATATATTTATGGTGTACAAGACGATGTTTTGAAATATGCATACATCATGAAATGGCGACCTTGAGCTAACATATGCGTTCTCACTATTTTTTATACATGTGGTGAGAACATTTAAAATCTACCCTTAGCAATTATACACTGTTATTAATTATAGTCACCTGGGTATATAACAAATCTCTGGAATTCATTCCTTCTAACTAAAATTTTGTACTCTTGTTGTTGTGCTGGGGATTGAACCCAGGGCCTTGTGCATGGAAGACAAGCACTCTGCCAACTGAGCTGTATCTCCAGCCAAGTTTTGTACTTTTTGATCAGAATCTCCCCAATTCCTTTCCCTCCCTCAGCCCCTGGTAACCTGTTCAAGGTTTTAAAGATTCTACACATGAGTGCGATCATGTAGTATTTGTGTTTCTGTCAGTTTTTTTCATTAGGCATAATGTCCTCCAGGGTTACTCATGTCATAAATGACAGATATCCTTTTTTTAAGGCTAAACAGCATTCCACCCTGTATATATCCTAAGTTGTTTTTATTCATTCATTTGTTGATGGACACTTAGGTTGATTCCATATATTGGCTACTGTGAATACTGCTGCAGTGAACATGGGAGCGCAGATGTCTCTGGCAATACTGATTTCATTCTCTTCAGATATATATATATCTAGAATCACTGCTAGATCGTTTGGTAGTTTTATTTTCAATTTTGTGAGGAGAACTTCATAGTCCATAACAGATGCACTAAGTCACATTCCCCTCAACAGTGTACAAGGGATCCCCTTTTCTCCATATCCTCACCAATGAAATACATTATAATCAATTTTTATGATATCTTGCTAAGTATGTCCACTTCTAAACAAAAGCAAGTGATCAGAGAAGGAAATCTTACCAAAGCATGTGGGTTGATTCTTTAACACAGCTCTTCATARCCTCTTTCCATCCCTCTTTAGATCTACTTCCCTTCATGCTTTGACATTAAGCAAAGATTCACATCCCCAAAGATGCCAACAGGCATAAAAATCATCATACTTATGTCAAAGAGAAACCGTTAAAATGCCCGCTAACGTGGCTTCACAGCTTCCGCAATGGCAGCCAGGAATTGGGGTAAGCTGATTTTCATACGGTTGCAACTTCATCACAACACATGAACAGTGTTGTAACAAAGGCAGCAGGAAGGACATGGTGCATACTGCAATGGTGGCTGGGTAGTGTCACAGAGACCCCTGACTGATCTAGTCTTCAGCAAAGACCTTTACCTTTGAAGGTTAAGAACATGCAGAAGGACAGAAAGCAATTAAAAGCAACAGGTAGGGTGGGGTATGGAGAGGAGACCCAACAAACACAAAGATTGGAGAAAAGTAAATGTTTTACTTAACCACAGGTTGCTTAAGACACACAAATGACTAACTTCCTGTGGTCACTGCATGGATCATACTTACCACTTTCATTCTGCACAATGAAAACTCACAATACTGCAGGTGATAATGCCCATATGAGAAGT